CAGTAGTTTTGAAGATTTATTGATTTAAAGCTTAAAGTAGACTTTAATAGGTACATCAGATTAGTTCGTACTACTTTCAGAAGAAATTTGACTAAAAGAATTTACTTAATAAGTAAATGCTTTTCTTCACTACGCCCATGGTTTGTTTATCATTTTGTTGAAAATAGCTATTTCAGCGTTTTTTTGTGGCAAAAAAGTTATTTCTTGAAGAAAGATAAGGAAATATCTCGTACTTATTTTAAATAGACAGTATTTAGATCAGACGTTTCCAGATCGATGGATTGGTAGAAGAGATGCCATTGAATGGCCCCCAAGATCGCCAGATTTATCACCTTTGGATTTCTTTATGTGGGGTCATTTAAAAAGCAAAATCTATGCTACTCAGGCAACATCATTAGAAGCTTTAAATCAATAAATCTTCAAAACTACTGAACTGAAGCACATTAATTTTATATCATTATAAAAGGAATTAAAAGAGCTTTGCAATAAGGTATCACTCGACCCCCTTTCCATTTAAGATTTTGGGGGTGGTGTCAGCCCCGCTTAGGGGGCTGCACGTGCTAACGTGATTTTTGCCAAACTTGTGTGTGTAAATGCGTCTGTTTCGTTTTCGATGCGCCACCCTGTATATTTGTCACAACGGTGACCTGCTTCAGTACATGCCATTTTTGACAATACTTATCGTCCAGGTGACACTTCGTTTGTTCTTTGATAGGTCGGTTAATTAAAAAATAAAACTGGAACTATCTCCCAGACTATGCTGATAGTAACACCGACATGAATGTGTTTGTGTTTTCTGATTAAGCGGGTACGCTTTTTTACCCTTTGGGAAGTCGACGTGGTGACATTTTTATTTCCTGTTTTGTGGAAAAAAATGCAAACGTATGGAAATAGGTTCTACGTAGAGAGCGCTTTGCTTTTTTTCTATCCATGTTCGTTCATTTATGAAACCGCGTAATTTGGATATTAGGAAAAACTTGAAAGACAACATTTAAACAAAGGTAAACAAAAATGTTGAGATGGTTGCCACAGCATGCTTTAAATATGGTCATTATGCTCCTAAAAAACAAGGTGAAGAAATTATTTTTCCTGGACGTAACACTTCTATTGTCACTGATTGTATTATAACGAGCATGCTGCATCAGTTCGCCAGCATGCTTTGTTGGTTGCAGAATGGCGAGATTAGTTTACAGAGTACATCTCTGAGGAGATGTAATAGAAAGAGCGTCACATTTTTCGGGATTCATATAATTCCAAAAACGTTCTACTGGTTCGCCGTTAAATACGTATCTGAAAATTGTTACCAGTTGGGTTTTCCCCGCAATGTCCGTTGTTTCATCTGCTATTATCGCCAAATACGAGGCTTTGTTAATCTGTTTTATTATTCCTTCGTGACAAACTTCAAGAATACAATCCAGTAGATCGTTTTGTATTTCTTTCGAAGTTCCTTTAAATATTGAAGCATTTTTTATGTGTTCGCTTGAGGTTGTATCAAGCTCAGCAGAAAAATTAATCAGTCCACGTAATATTTCTGGGTTTTGGGATTTCGTCAGGGCCCCGTAGCGCCAATTCAAATGCTCCGCAAAACTTTATACCGAGCACCGACCGACCAATCAGATATCGTACTTCGCATTAGATTTGTACGGATCTGTATAACGTGCAGCACATGCTTATGCTTAAACGGCGCACTTGATTTTGTAGAGAGAGACAAAAGCAAGCGCGTGCGACTTGTGTCGAAGTAGTGCACAGATCCTTTTCAAGTGGCCCATGAATAATGTTACGCCGCGCTCGCGACGTAAATGACAAGTACACAATTGGTCGATTATACTGCTTTCTCAATACAAAACAGACTCGTCGCCGTGTCTTGCGGGGGGCAGCGTTGCCGGTATTGTTTCTATTTGTGTGATAACATGGAAAATAAATAATGATCAAATTTGTTAAGACAAAAGTTTTGGCAGTTCTGCAGCTCTGCAGAACTTAAGGGCCAGCCGCCCCTGGTGTAGTTGTCATTGTGTTTTAGAACTAATAAAAGTTCACTGAGGAAGTGCAGTAGTTTTTCTTCTAGAAACAGTAACAGTAAAAACCCGAACAGTTGCATGATCGATCATATTTGAAAGACGAATAGTTAGGTTATGTTAAACCAGGTTAGGTTGTTTTCGAATAATACTTTGGTCTTTGGTGTTCCTGTCTTAAGGTATTCTACTCATAACTGTTTTTTTTAAACAAAAACCCCCCACTAAAATTATTATTAAGGCATCACTCAAAACCATGAAATAAAATGAAAATAAAAATAATCGGTGAAATAACTTAACTTCGCAAAATCATAATATAAATTTGTTTTCATTATATTTCTGACATCGTGATTTTATCATCGACGTACGTATAGTCAACGCCAAACAAAGTGGCGTGCACGTCATCAAGGTGGGTGTGTTGAAAAATTTACATTGTTGCCAAACTTTTTGTAAAATAATAAAACTTATTATTTACATATCTAGGTTTATAAGCAATATTAACCTCAAATGAGAACAAAAATAATAGTATAATAAAATTATAGATCTGTACTTGCATAATCATTAAGTATGACAATTATTGATCAGATGACACTATGAAACTATCATATTTAATTGATAGCTTAAAGGTATTGAATAAAAATCCAAATGGGGTCCTCCAAATTTTATGCATGGTATTTATTTTACAGAATTCATACAGAAAAATGCATTCTAAAATTAGGTAAGCTACTGGTGTAAGCTTTTTCTGTACAATAAAGTTAGTCGGAGTTTCTTTCTTCAGCGCTGTCTGAATCTGAATCTTCATCACTCTCAAAGTTGATTATTAAAGGTTCGATGTCTGGTCGATCAAAAATTCGTTCTCTTTCATACCATTTAAAAATTTCTTGATCAGTATGTCGAACACTATTTTTCCACATGTCTGGGGTAACCGTTTGTAGAGCCTCGTTCCACATATCCAAACAGTCTTTTTCACTGTTACCATCTCTACCAATATGTCTGTTATAGTAACCTTTTGCTATGCCCCAAATTAACTCAATAGGGTTAAATATACAATGGTAAGGAGGCAGACGAAGAACTTTGTGCCCATGTTGTTCCGCCAATTCATCAATCACGTATATTTTAGGTGGTTTGTTTCTAAAAAAGCCGTTATTTTAAGAATAGGAATAAACAAAAGAAATATAAACTGTCGACCAAAATACATATATATATAATTAAGAAGCATTATGTACCGAGCAACAATACTCAATAGCTCTGTTTTAAACATTGTGTTTAAAAATGGTATGTTTTGATTTGTCAACCAGTCTTGGATATTTTTTTTTTGTCCATGCATTGTTGGGCACTTTGTTCAATATCATGCTGTGATAAGGGGCGTTATCCAGTATAATCATAGATGGACTCTCCAATTTTTCTAATAACTGATGTTGAAACCATTTCAAAAAATTGTCCTGGTTCATCTCTCCATGGTAATCGCTCAATTTTGTTTTCGAAGAAAATATCGCTTCACTACCCTCAATAAACCCATTTTCATTTCCAGCATGTAATATAATGTATCTAAAATATATTAGTTTTAAATTTTATAGTGCAAATTGTGTAAAAGTACATACCTTTTACCATCTGTTTTAATAGCTTTCACGCTTTTTTGGTTTCCATTTTGCCAAGAGCGACCTATGGTCCCATTTTGAAATATCCAAGTTTCATCGAGGAAGACAAACTGGTATAAGGCCTCAACCTTGGCTTGATTGTATTGCCTTAGAAATTCCACCCTTTTCAAAGCTATACTTGGTAGTTCCATGAGCCCTCGTCGCGGATTGTCCTTAAGCCACTTAAATCCAAGATCTCTAAGCAACCGCCTTAAAGACGTGGCACTACCATCAAATAATGCCCTATCTCTTAATCGAGACCATAAAGTTTGTATCGTAACTTGTTCTTCTGAAACCATGTGTAATATGACATTATAATTTAGTTAACAAATTAATGCAAATTTCTGATAAGTTATTATAATAAGATCTTACTTTTGTGATACATATTATAGATCACTTCTCGAATGGCACTTGTATCCAATGTCGCTGTGTTGGTTACACGTTTAATATAACTCCGCTTTTTCTTGGGCGATTCTAAATTTGCATCACTTTTCACACCCTCGGAAATACGACTAACTGTCCTTAAACTAATTTTTAAAGCAGCAGCAACACGCTATAAAAAATGAAATAAAATTTCACTATTATTAATATACATTACATATAATTATTAGTAACCTACCTCTTGAACAGCATTTAAAGGCAACAAAGGCCCGTTGTTGTCCCTTTCTTGCTCAAAGTAGTGCATTAACGAGGCCACGAGTTCCTTACACCGACTATTTAACTGTTTGGGCATCTTTATATACCAAAATTGCCTTTATCTACTCGTAAAATGAATAATTTTGTTTTGAAACAAACAGTTGTTGATTTACAGTATGCGGGGCCAAAGGATTTATAAAGATTTGAAATGCCACAAATTGATTCAGTGTCAAAATTAATACAAATGTCAGTTCCCAGTTTAAATAAGTTTCAAGGTGACAATGTGTCAACGCTGCGAAATCGGCTTAGTGCGTTTACATGTCGATAAGTGATTGGAGCGTTTGCAAAACATTTTATTTCGCATAATGCGTCTAAATTTATCAGAAATCAACTTATGTGATATTTTAATAACAATGTTTATATGACTATTAACCATAATAAGAGAGTAATGACCATTTTACAATTTATATATCACATTAATATGAAACTGCAATAGAGCAATTGTTTGTGATAGAAACCTAGGCATTAGGTCGGGGAATTTTTATCGTGATGACGTGCACGCCATTTTGTTTGGCGTTGACTATACATTGATTGCTTCAGTACAATTTATGGTATGACGTAGTAGTCATCTTTCGTGATTTTGACTATAGACTACCTACGCCTACTAAGATGTAAACGCGCTTATTGACTGCCTAAAAATCCACGTGACTGTCATAACATCGCTGCCATGTCGTGGGCTGTCAATCAAATCCGACATACAACTTCTACATCCGATCTGTTCAGATTTCACTGAAAATGTCCTACGTGAATAAAAGACAACGCGTGTTCAGCGAGGGATCGGGTACCGTCTTGGTCCCCACCCGGTCTGAGGCTCGCATGAAGAGGTACCCGTCCTCGACTGACCTCAGAGCATGGTGTGACATCGTCGAAGAAAGAAGACAGCACATTTTGGAGTACGCGGCCAAAAATAAGCAAGGCATATGTCTGGAGAAGCTCATACCTATGGACGTGCTCGTCAACACTATGGTGTACAACAAAAATGTCGGTTAGTGAACCGTGCAGGATGAAAACTACTCTATTAGGAACATCAACAAAGTTTAAAGATTTTCTGGATCAGTTTAAAACAGGGCTGTCCAACATACGGCCCGCGAACTCATGTATATATCACATGTATAAATTACTCTCATATACCGAATATGCACAATTCTTACATTAACTCTATAATAATGTTGTATAGAAAGATTTTATAATGCGGCCCTCCAAACTGCATTTTTTTTTGAGGTGGCCCTTGGGCCGCATTAAGTTGGACATGCTCGAGTTCTTGCCCACGCTTCCTCCTTACAAAAGTTAAATCAAAAGCTAATGTTCTACGGATCGCTCCGGTAAACGTTAATCAACAGAGAATACTCGTGGTTGTAGGTTTTGCAGTTTTTTCCTTGATGTCTTATTCCGAAATGTAATCTGCAAACTACTACTACTGCTACGTATACAGGGTTATCCAAATTAAGTGTCCACCATTAGTAACTTTGTTATTAGTGAAAATACAAAGTTGTTTGAATTAGCAAACTAGTAGCATTTTTAACGCTGGTAAAAATGAGAAATAAAAAAAAACAATTGAGAGTCGTTATTTTGATTTTTTTCAGTAAAATAACATTTTTTTAAATGGAAACCCCTGTATATTACATTTTTTTCTGTTAAAGCATCAAATTTTAAACAAAAAAGTTCATAATGACTTTTCCGCTAAAGTCAAAAATAAAGTCAAAATAACGATAAATATTTTTAATTATTTGCAGTATTATAATATTAAGACAGCTATGAAAACAACATGGCGTTCGCGATTTGACAGCATTAAGATAAGCGACAAATTGTTAAACTGGACATACTCGCAACTAGAAGGCTTTGGAAAACAATGATAAAATCAAATAATGTCAAACATTAGTGTAAATACTTGTTTATAAGCTTTATTGTGTCATTAATTTAAAGAAAAATGTTCTCCCATGAAGAAAAGTGTGATATGTTAAAATGCTATTTAGTGTGCAGAAAATCCTCCTTGAGAGCAAGAGAATACTACAGTGAATTATATCCCGCTCGCATTCAACCGTATGAACGATATTTTCTGAGACTTTATCGAAAATTTAGGGGCAACGAAAATGTTTTTGCTGAAACAAGTGCAAAAAAAGAATTCATAATAAGCGAGGCCACGGAAATTGCAGTTATTGGATATTTTGAAGCTTATCGTGAGAATTCAATAGCAGATATTCTCAAGGACTCTAATTTCAGTTATGGTACTGTTCAAAGGATTTTAAAAAAATACAAATTTATTCCGTATAAGTACCGACCAGTTCAAACGCTTTTGGCAGGGGATCCAGAGAGAAGACTTGTTTTTTGCCATTGGTATCTTAGCTTCTGTCGCCAAAATGTAAATAACTTTCGTTACCTTTTATGGACAGATGAATCAAATTTTTCAAATTCTGGAATGTTTAATAGAAAAAACCACCATTATTGGTCAAGAGAAAATCTTTTGTTAGTACATCCAAGAGGCCCACAAGTCCGTTTCAGTTTCAACGTTTGGTGCGGTATAATTGGTTCAAAAATTGTTGGCCCGTTCTTTTATGAGGGAACCGTAACTGGTGAAAGATATGTGGAATTTATGTCAGAAATTCTGACTAATTTCTTAGACGAATTGGATCTTATAAGTAGACATCATCTGCATTTTCAGCAAGATGGCGCACCTGCCCACAACTCCAGAGGTACTTATCATTTTCTAAGTACTACTTTTAATGATCAGTGGATAGGAACAAATGGCCCAATACAGTGGCCTCCCAGATCACCAGATCTAAACCCACTTGATTACTTCTTGTGGGGTTACTTAAAGAACCAAATTTACAAGCGAAGGTACGATAACCTTGACGCGTTAAAGACTGCAGTTAGGGAAAAGATAACCCAGATAGATGGTAGGACCATACTTAAGACAGTTCGAGCAGTTGAAAAACGTGCCCAAAAATGTATTGAAGAACAAGGTGGTGGTTTCGAGCATCTTCTTTAAAAAAAATTGTTATTGTATTTTGTAAGATTATAAGTTGATGTTGAAAATAAAGTTTGTCGATACAATTTAATTGTTTCAGATTGGAGGCCATAACTTCAACAATTTGTAACCTAGGAGAAAAGTTATTGTAAGCTTTTTTGTTTAAAATTTGATGCTTTAACAGAAAAAAATATAATATACAGGGGTTTCCATTTAAAAAAATGTTATTTTACTGAAAAAAATCAAAATAACGACTCTCAATTGTTTTTTTTTATTTCTCATTTTTACCAGCGTTAAAAATGCTACTAGTTTGCTAATTCAAACAACTTTGTATTTTCACTAATAACAAAGTTACTAATGGTGGACAGTTAATTTGGATAACCCTGTATAGTTTCAGTTTTCATAGATTTAAGTAACAACTATCTTGATAGTAATGTACTGTTCCACAGAGCTTCTCGAGCTAGAGCGACAGGTTCAGTATTTGGAAGATAGTTTGGCTTTGTTCAAGAAAATAAATTTGACAGCAAAACAAAAAGTACAACTTGATACGTTGCTCAAGGAGAACAATTTGGAGACGAACGAACCTGCTGATGATGATAATGGATCGAATTGTACAATCTAAGTATGTACAGAATAAAATACAGTACAGGAACTGTTTGAATTTAATCCACTAAGGCGCAATTTCGCCAACATTAATATTTGACGGTCTCTTGGACCAACGGGAAAATAGCTTATCGAAATGCAATTTGACAGAAGCTGTCAAAGGTCTCTGGACAACAAATTTTAGTTTTTTAATTGTATCTTGTGGGAAAAGTGCACTTCTTTGTTAATTTTGGGGCGCTGAATCCACAAATCACAATGAAATAAAAACATTAGTTGCGGTTTAGAAAAAAACTTTTTATTTTTAAGGATATATTAAAAAAAGTAACAAGATTCATATACTTATAAGAATCACTATATGCGCTGTCTTTTTGCTGTTCTTTTATGGATCGTTTCTGGAGCATCTCTACCAGGAGTCCAACAGTAGTCTGCAAGCATGGAAGGATTCCACTTTCCCTGGTACCTTTTTTCCATTGTTGAAATATCCTGATGAAAACGTTCGCCGTGCTCATCACTTACGGCTCCGCAATTGTCAGGAAAAAAGTCCAGGTGTGAGTGTAGGAAATGTATCTTAAGAGAGATATTACAGTCCATCTTTTGATACGATGACAGCATATTTTTGACAAGGGTTTTATAGTTGTCAGCTTTTCTATTTCCCAAGGAATTAGTGACCACCAGATGGAAATCATTCCAAGCAGTTTTTTCAATACCTGTTAAAGTGTTTTCAAACTGTGTATCTTTCAAAATATTTCGAATCTGTGGCCCAACAAAAATACCTTCTTCAACCTTTGCCTCATTTAGTCTTGGAAATTTCTGACGCAGGTATTGAAAAGCTGACCCATCTCTATCTAATGCCTTGACAAAGTTTTTCATTAGGCCCAACTTGATATGCAGTGGTGGTAATAAAATTTTTTTCGAATCTACTAATGGCATATGCTGTACACTTTTTTGACCTGGCTCTAGGAATCGACGAACAGGCCAGTTTTGACTGGTGTAATGAAGTGCCTTTGCCCGACTGTCCCATTCACACAAAAAACAGCAAAACTTTGTGTAGCCTAGCTGCAGCCCAAGTAAAAGTGCAACAACTTTCAAATCGCCACAAATATGCCATTGGTGCTCATCGTATTTTATGCATGTCAGTAGGTACTTCATATTGTCATATGATTCTTTCATGTGAACTGCATACCCTACAGGAAGAGATGGTAAAATATTTCCAATATGCAATAACACTGCCTTTAAACTCAATGTTGAACTGTCTATAAACAATCTCCATTCTTCTGGGTTATAGTTTATATTTAAAGCTGCCAGTAAGCCGTTAATGTTACTGCAGAAAACCAAGTTATTCTCCATATTGAAAAATGGTTCTAAGTCTTTGTGGCGTTTACGAAAAACACATACCGAAACATCGTCTTCTAACAAGTTCCACTGCTGCAGTCTTGATCCAAGTAACTCTGCCTTACATTTTGGAAGTTCTAAATCTCTTACAAGATCATTTAATTCTGACTGTGTTATTTTGTGCGGTTGGTGGCATGACGTGCTCGGTATAAAATCAGGATCTCTTGACGTTGATGGCATATCTTCTTCCTGACGAATCACTCGATCGCCATCATCTGATTCGTTTTCTGATTCGCAAGTGTAGGATTCTGGGGGTTTTGGAATAGGATTTTCGTCACTGTGAGGCACAGGTCTCATCGCAGATGATATGTTTGGGTAGTTAATAACCGATTATTTTTTCTTGGACATACCTGTGGCTTGTCCAACACAAGGTACCATGCAAAAGTAACAATCATTAATATGATTTGTAGGCTCTCTCCAAACCATTGGGACAGCAAAGCGCATAGACCGTTTTTTGCCATTTAACCAGCTCCTCAGACTTGAAGCACATGTATTACAGCAGATGTGGGATGCCCACTGTTTGTCTTGATCACCTAGTTTACAACCGAAATAAAGCTGATATGCCTTTGTTATTAGTGGAGTAACAGACCGTCTCTGAGACGCAAAAGTCACATCACCACACACGTAACAAAACTGATCTGGATTGTTTACACACTTTCGAGACATCTTGCATGAACGCTGTCAGCCAACTGAGGAAAAAATGGCTAATATAAATCAATTATTTTTGTCGGCATCTAGAAAAAGCCCTCTAGCGGCCAAATGTGAAACTACCAAAGCTTCAAATATTATGACGTTTGTAGCCCAAGAATAGCTGTTTTCAACTAGCCCAAGTTTGTTGCAATCGGCTCAGCCGTTTCGAAGATACAGGGTGTTTTTACGGAGACGAAAAGGTTCAGATTATCCTCGAATTTAAAGATCAGGTATTTTTTTCAGGTTAGTATATCGGAATTCACAGAAACATCACTTTTTTAGATTCACGATTGCAATTACGCCCCCTAGCGGTCATTTGAGAAGTTCCTCGCATTCTTAGTCCATTTTATGATTCAGTAAAAAACTAAACATTTTAACCTTCGAATATGGGATATTCCAGAAGATAAAAGCTTCGTTCCGAGTCTTTCATACGTATTCCGGTACTTAATCAGGCTCATGTATGTCTCATTCTCCTTTCCCGTTTTTCTAGCGATGGCTCTTTTCATATTAATATGCAGAGATTTCCGAGACGCCGCCGCCGTTTTATCGACAAAAAACATAATATAGTTTTTATATCCTGATCTACGTACATAGGACGATGGCTAAATTGTATCTGCCAGCCTGCATGAAATATGGATGGCCTTATCCGAAAAGTTTTGAACCGGCACAAGCTTTCGCGGGTCTTTCTCTGGGATTCCATTTTTTGCGACATTAATCCTGAAATATAACAGTAGCAGCCGTTTCAACTTTTATACAGAAACGAGCTTTTTCTTCAAATTAAATAGTCTCCAAGAAGGTTACTTATACAAGGACGATGCGAAATCGTGGGCGGAATTACTAGGTTCACAATCAGTGGCGTACCGTTGAAGCGAAGGGCTCTTTTCGATTTTTTTTACCAACGGGTATCGTGTAAAAAAACTATAAAACGTCAAAAAAAAAACCTTGCGGACTAGGTAGTTTTTAGGGCGCAAACAGTCATTCCACGTTTGCTCACTAAGATCGTTGTGAACGTCCATCTATGGAGAAATCACTCAGCTAAACTGCACGCATTATTGGTTGCATAGTGTTGCAAGGGTCTGTAGTTTTTATCTCTGAGAAGAAAGTTGGTTGAATAGCAGGATGGCATCTGGATGATTATGTGTATTGGTCTGCATGTGTATAAAATCAATGATATTTGCTGTGAGGGAAAATCATTACTGAATATCAATGTTAAGGCCAAAAACTCTGTCTTTTTGAAAATGTATACACATAGTTCAAAAATAAAAAGTGGCAATGTTAAAATCTAATATTCCCTAAAAATATCCTTACAGCTAGTACGGAAAGCTATTCGGGCTATGCACCGTATTACTCCTTACATACCTCAGCCGCGACTCTCCCTGTGCATAACACAATGTACGTAATTGAGAACAGAGAATTAAGAAGAGTCCTTGAGTTTTAGCAGGGACATAACATCCCGATATCGATATTTTTCGCTATACAATGAGCCGTATTCATAAAAGAGAAGCATATTCTCGGAAGCATAAGATGAAAAGGTAGAACGCATATCCTTGTTTTCATATTCATAATGATTACCTTATACTCGCGACGATATCCGCCAAGAAGAAGTAAAAGGTTGACTTTTATTTGTATCTTGAGCGACATGTCCTGACTGGTTCCAGCTTTTAGTTGACGTGGGAGTTCGTTCACTCAGCATCACTGACAGTTGTACACCAGAGCTTACACAGACCGTTCCGTATTTTTACTGGATACAGTTTTTTATTAAATTAATAAGCAAGACATCCTCAAATGGTGAGGAAACTATATAAAATGATGGCAACGACATGCAGTTCATCGCAGATGAAATTGCCATTGCTCCCAATACTTTGCAAAAGTCACAAGTTCCAAAAATAAAAATGAGAAAGGGCGATGCCTTGAAGAAGATGTTGAAAAAATACGAATCAACATTCGGTAAACCATTAGATACCAAAGGCTTATTAAAAAAAAACACCAACATGAAATCAAGATTGAAGAAAAAACAGATCTGAAAAAAACTGGTAATAAAGCAATTCAGAAGACATTGCCACCAAAAAGAAAATTAGCAACAGAGAAATACGAAACTGAGGAAACCAAAAGGTTAACTTCAAAGGAACTGCAACGTCTAGTGCTATTACCGCAGTACCAAATAAGTATACTAAGTGACATATAAATCCGAACACCCAGTTTAAATGGTTTTATTTAAATATCAGTTGGACATTCCGGTTTTTATACTGCTTTTTTTTAATTCACTAACGCTCTAAAAATGAATATTTCAGCCGCAGTAAAGAATCAACGTTACCTGTAGGATTTCGTCAACTTAGTGAGTTTGATAGGGGCCGTATAGTGGGACTTCGGGAAGCTGGACTTTATTTTCGGGCAATTGCAGTTAGAGTGCAAAGAAGTGTAGACACTGTGGTTAGGTGTTGTCAGGCATGGCTTCGAGAAGACCGTACGCAAAGAGCAAGGGGCACTGGACGCCGCCGTAGAACAACAGACCGTGAAGATCGCCACCTAAGATTATTGGCCTTAAGGGACCGTTTCTCCACTACCCGGTCCATTGCAAATGAATGGTTTGCAGAACACGGAAGACCTACTGGCATGCGAAGTGTTTACCGACGAATGAGAAGTTTTGGCTTGTTTTCATACCGGCCACACTGGGTCCTCCCTTTAACTCTAGAACACCGACGTAATCGCCTTGAGTGGTGCAGACAACGGTCACTCTGGGATCAGGAATGGAACAGTATTGTCTTTAGTGACGAGTCTCGATTTTGTTTAGGCATGCACGATGGTCGTGCCAGGATTAGAAGGCGACGTGGTGAAAGGAGGAATCCAGAGTTTTTTGTTGAAAGACATGTTCATCACACTGTTGGAGTTATGGTTTGGGGTGCTATAGCTTATGGTTCCAGGTCACCTTTAATCTTCATCAGAGGTAACATGAACGCGCCGCGT